TCTGGGAGTTGAAGTCCACTCATCTTAAAGTGGCCAAGTTTGGACAACACTGGGTTAGGGAATAACAGGAAAATACATTGGTTTATATTTCAGTGGCATGATTACTGACACAGAAATGGATTTGCTAGGAAAGACAAATTCCTGCTGGGTATTTTTGTTGTCTATTTAGCCTTTTTCAAAACTCAGTTATTTTTATGATATATTATATCTGCTGGGTCTTATTTTACAATGGTCTATAGTCAGGTACAACAGAAGCATCTTAGTAATTCCAGCTGAGAATTGCTTTTTATGGTCAGCCTCTTTTCACCTCTTAACAACTGAGGACCATTTTGCGCCTCCCTGAAGGAGGAAAACTTAGGCCCAACGGCTCCTATTCCTTATCCACATGATCGCCTGGATCTTCACACTGCATTTATCATCAGTACCTTTTTTTAATTCCAGAGCTTGTTCCAGATAATCGTCCTCTGTGATGGGTTTCCCATTCCGTTCCAGCTGCAGGGTGAAATCTCGCACAGCCCAGACAAATGTAGGGAAGAAGCCAACAAATTCAGAAGAGTCTTCTGTATCTCCATGGCTGGATGGACTCTTTGTCCTGATGTGTTTAGAGAGCTCCGTCACAAAACTTTTCCCCCAGTTTAGGAATCAAGAAACGTACAAGTGCAGTGAATAAAGAGGATAGCCTTGAAGGACAGAGAGAAGATCTGCTACCAAGGCAACAGTCAGACAAATGAAACTTGAGCCCAGGCCAAGAAAGGAGATTGCAGAAATGCCTCAGATAGCTCCCTGCCCAATTCTCATGAAGATAAAAGAGGGAGGAAGGGAAGCACATAGAGACTTGCAAGATTCCGTTACTGCAGCTGTTCGGATAAAAGTAGCTTTAGGTCTACATGGTGTCTGATTCTTAGTCTGGTCTACCTGATAGGGCTGACATCAAAGGAAGACATGTCTGCAAAATGCCTGGCTCTACCTCTACCACAGAACCAGACATGGTTGATCAAGTAAGGAGAAGCAGATAATTTGGTTGGTTCCTAAAAGCTATTTATTTTGCAACAGCAGCTTCCACATTTATATTTGTTTGCCAAAATTATCTTCTTAATATTTACTTTTGAATATGAATTCTGCAGATGAATTGCTAGCAGCACAGCACCAAGGCTAATTTCTCTTCGATCATTATTTATTAAAATATATTGTTTATAGATATGCTATAATTAACATATGGCATAGGTTACCCACTGATTTCTCCCTCTCTCTCCACTGTCAAGAAGGGTAAGTGCTATACACCTCAGTGCTACTGAAACATTTTTGAAAGAATCCAAAGTGCCAGATTAATCTGAAATGCAATGGGAAGCACGGGATTGATGGATGACAGTAGGCGCCGTTTTGAACGTGTTGATTTCAAACAAAACAAAATTATCCCTGTTGAAGAGCAACACGATTCACATAACAGACTTCACCTCTTTATTGCCTTAACCCATTTTCTGTGCTTGCACAATACATTGAAACATAAGCTAGTCAACATTCAATCTAACCAAGCTTTGCAGGTTGGGGAACACACTTGATGAGTCTAGAAATGACTTAGACAAGGATGTTTCTGGATGTTGCCTCACTCCAAATCTACAGTAACTGCACAGCATAACAGGGCTATTCTTTAGAAGGATACTGAAGCTTGTCCATAGCAGTCTGATCAATGGTCCCCAAACTATTGTAGACGAGGGTGCTGCTTAGCAGCACGGCCAAAGCGAAGATCCAGGCATCATTTTGAGAATTGCCCTAAGGAGGGACAAGAGTAAGTTATGATCTGTTTCTGACTTCTGCTGATTGTATCTATGCCTCTCATAAGGTAACTTCATAAGAACAAGAAACCATTCATTCACCAGGCCAGAATTCATTCACTGAGTCCTTCATCATTTCTGACAGCCAGGAATGCTGGGAGTTGTAGTTCAGGAACAATTAAAGGCCATGCGTTCTTCCCCTTGGCCAAGAGAATTAGATTTGGTTGAGGTATATTAGGCCTGACTCTTGACATTAATATTGCAATCTTCCTTCTAGAAAGTCATCTGTGCTACTTGCTGCCTAAAGAAATCCCACTGACATGGTGCTTTATGCAAAGAAATACACAAATACAAAATCACCTTTTGCACATCACCCAATCCCTCAGTGTCCAGAAGGACGAGGGTTTGATGAGGCCTTTCCGGATAGGGAATGCACCACATCCAGATTCCTTTTGTATTTGCTTGCACCGTGGAGCCCAAAGAGAAACCTACAAATGGAAAAATAGGCTATGGTTTAGACCCAAAATAGATAATCCTGTAAATGTGTGAGCTGCAGTTCATGAGACACAGCTTTTCACTACCAGTTTTTGTGGCTGCCCCCCTGTCTTTAACACCTTCAAACAGGAAATCGTTCAAGGGTGCAGTTTCCCAGACGGAAATGCTTATGAAATACATTTCATTTTGCAATATAAGAGGAAGCACAAGAACCCTGAAAGAAAAGGGGGGCTACATTTCTCAGCACCTAAAAAGAATACCGGGAGCAGAGTTATACAGATGCATTGATTAAATCAGCAATTTAAAGCTTGCAATCTTACTATCCTAAAGGGAATTCTGGAAGTCAAGGTCACACCAGTCCAAAGAGTTCCCTGTCACTGCATGACTCACAATGGGCATTTTGGAAAATGGGAGTCCTGGGCTCTGTACATAACCTGATCATCAGAGTAGAAAACACTGGACTTGGGGGTGTTCATTTCCCCACCACCTATTCCAGGTTCTGCCCTCACCCACATTGTCCCGGTTCATGTCCACCCCTTCTCACCTGAATTTTTACCAGCCAGCTTGTTCATCAGGTAGGACTTGCCCGTGCGGTACAGTCCCACAATGGACACCACCACCACCTGGTTCCGGATTTGCGAGAGCAATTGAAGGGCCTCTGGAGAGATGTGGAGGCCGCTCAGCCTGTTCTCAATCAGGCACACGGGGGCTGCCATCTGCATTTTGGAGGCCTGGAGGGATGCCGCTGCAGAGCAAGATTGGCAAGAAAGTGCCCAGAGTCACCAAAGATGCCGTTTGTATATGACGGCGATAGCACTTTCTTCACAGACGCTCCCAAATGAAGAATATAAAAGAGCCTTCCCCAAGTTCATGACCTCCAGGTGATGTCAAGCCCATCTCAGGCCAGTGAGTGTATGGGCTTTGTAATCCCCGACTGATTCCTTCTCAAGCATCTTCCCCCAGACCTCAGAAGACAACTGAAGAGCAGCAGGTCTTCAGGGCCAAGCCCGCCCCTGGGGGCAGACCTGGTCGGAACGGCGGGACGGGTCCCCAGGTCCCCGGGCCCGAACGGGAGCAAGTTCCCCGCGGTTCCCCAGAAGCATTTCCGCGGAGGAGCCCCGCACCGCGCCCCAGCACCCGCCCGCACCAGGCCGAGGGAGAAGCCTCTCGTCCCGCTGCTGACCCTCCCGCCAGCCCTTCGCGCCCCCCAGTTTTCAGGAAGAGTCTCTGCTTCGCGGATGCTCGGGAAGAGAGCCCCGCAACTGCTCCGCCGGTGCCAGCAAGGGGGACCCACCCAGCCCCTCCGGAGGACCTCAAGTCCCGAAAGCGGCTGCCGCTGCGGGGAAGGACCGGACACCGGAGGGGAAGTCGGGGAAAAGCGATCGCGCCTCGCGCCCGGCTCCCTTTACCGTCTTTCCAAAGGAAACCAGTTGGGCCGCCCGCCAGCTCCCTTCGTAGCCCGACGCGACCTCTCCCTCCTGCGCTGAAGTCGGGGCTTTTATAAAGCAGCCGCGAAATCGAAAGCGAGGTTCGCCGTTCGCTTCCAGGAAGGCACCCAGCTTCTCGGCAGATGAGCCGAGCCTCCGCGAAGCGCGCGGGGCCCCTGCTAGAAAGTAGCCGCCGGACGGGGAGTGGCTGGAGACCCCTCCACAACCCTCGAGCCAGATCTGTTTCACGGTGGCTTGCACGCGTAGGGGTTTCTGGACTTTAATATACATAGGTGTACCATCCGTTTGTGTGAATGTGATCGACCTGAGCATCTTCTATAGAGATACACGGAGTCGCTTGCGCCTGTTTCTATCTGTGCCCTTTATAGCTTTACAAATATCGCAACTTAAGGGGGGGGGGGGGGGGGCGCAGGCGATTTGGGCGCGGCCCCCCCAACTTCTGACATTTTCTGAGCGCTGGGAAGGAGTTGCCCCTTGCGTGTCGCTCCATAACTTGGAGGAAAAGCTGGAAAAGGCGGCGATTGTCCTTGAGAACATGGCAGACAGAAGTCATAATTGCATTTTTCGGATAGGTGGTGACTTTTGAACCGTTCGGGTGAAGAATATCCTGTTTTTCCCAGGCTCGTGTCAGAGTTGCAATCACTTAGATTTTTTTTCTTGTCCCTTAATCCTTCATTGATGGCTTCATAGATGCAGCGTGGGCTGCATTGCAATACCCTCCCCGTCACCTTCGCAGTTATTACCAGGAGGAGTCGCACGCACCCTGCTATTTTTGGTGCCTTCAAGCCATTGTGGATTCCTTGTGACTCCCTGGGCAAGTCCCAACATCTTACCAAGAAAACTGCAGGGTGCTTTGTCATTTCCCCCTTCCTAGGGCTGAGAAAGAGTTGGTTCCGTGCCCAAGATGAGACTAGAACTCAGGGTCTCCTGGTTTCTAGCCTGATGCCTTAACCCAGTGTTGTCCATGCTGGGTGGGGAATTCTGGGAGTTGAAGTCCACTCATCTTAAAGTGGCCAAGTTTGGACAACACTGCCTTAACCACTACACCAAACTGGTTCTTTTCTAGCTGGTAGTGGAATAAATTTCTTGTAAAAGAAGTAATGAGAAATGTCATTTTATTTTTTTAATAGACATTCTATACAAGTGTTAGTTGACTGGGATGCTTCTTACACCTCCCCACAAAAGAAAATCGCAGTTAAATGTGGGGGGAAATTTGGAAGGGGGGGAATAAGGAATGTCTGAGTGTGTGCGCTTGGTAGAGCAGCCACAAAGTTCTTGGGAAAGATACCCAGATGCTGTGATGTGTCTATGCCTATAAAGATCAGAGTTGTGCAAGAAATGGTATTCCCTGTGACAATCTAAGGAAGCAGAAGTTGCACTTTGAAGAATCAATATTAAAATATGCAGGGTATAATATATAATGGCCCTGATTCCACAAATAAGCCCTTTTTTTCACTTTTATTCCCAATTGTATAAAGCTGAATCAAATGTATTTGAAGAAGAAATAAATGGCATATAATTGGGGGGTCCACGGTGGGCTCAAAAAAATTGGGATGGCAAGCACAACTGTTTGATCAAAGCCCCTCCCCCCCTTTAACAGGTGATGTAATAAAGGGCAAGGCTTTGATCACACCGTGGTGGCCACTATCTTGATTTCTGTGAAATCCTCCAAGTGGACATTCCCCTATGTAATGTAAGGCGCCCTAAGAGTACATGTGATCAGGCCATTTAGTTAACTACAGCTTTATCTCTTCAAGAAATAGTAGATACTATTCAGGCTATGAAAACAGAAAGAGCTCTCAGGGTCTGCAAAGAAGGTGATGGGGAACGATCCATGAAGATGGACCATCCACACGGTGACCCAGAAGACCGTGATGCCAACACTGCATTTGAAACTATTAGGACAAGAACATTGCACAACCTAAGACAGCAAGGTTGCATAGGTTCTCCAAAGTCTTGGGTGGATTTTCCAGGAACTTCCAAAAGTTATGAAGGTACTGCCATTTTCACCGGGCAGAGAAAAGAGAAAGAAAGAATTATATAGCTGAACAGTAATCACACTGACTGCTATTAAGCATAAAGGCTGGCCAAATATTCTGCCGGTCCTGGGCCCAACTGAAAGGAATTAGGATACAGCCCTTGGTAAAAACCAAGTGTAGCCTTATATAAGTAGGACCTCAACTGTTCTTGTTGTTGTTGTTTAGTCGTTAAGTCGTGTCCGACTCTTCGTGACCCCATGAACCATATTGCGCCAGGCCTTCCTGTCCTTCACTGCCTCCCTGAGTTTG